TCTCATGACGCACACCTCGGTCCGGAGGTAAGACCGAAGGCGGGTCTTTGGAGACGACATCTTGATATTCCATTATCAAAAAAAAATAGTACGGATGCAAGGAACTCTTCAAGATCGAAGATCCAAATTGTGCGTTCAGCACCCTCTTGGTGTCCGCTAGGACAGCTTCATCCAGAAGCGGCGGCAAGTCGATCTCCTTTTTCGGTCGTGCAGTGATCACCTCGGATAAATTGCCTGCATCAAGGCACCACCGAGCTCTTCGAAGGGCATCTCGTCCAGTTCAAGAAAAGCATTCAGCGCAAAACAAGCCTCGAGGGTGACGTCGTCTTTTTTCTCTCCCGTCATACGGTATATAGTTGTGCGCTATCGTCTACGATAGACGCACCCTGGATCAGGTCGACGCCCTGCGTCTTGCAGATTTCATACGACTTCGCCGTTTCCTCTTGATAGAGGTTTTACGCCTCATCGAGACCAATGGGAGCACGCACTCGGCGTCGTCCAGTGTCCCTACTCCCTGCTCCATCGGAGCCTTGATGTTATTAACAACATCCGACGAAGGGCTGCTATTTCCGTAGTCGTCGCTCAGTGGATAACGTGCCACTCCACGCGCATCAGAAGAGCCTTGCCCGCGATGCCTCGGACCTCGTCCGACCATGCCACTGCTGGTGTGCAGCAACCGCTTCGAAACGTAAGCAGTGCTCAGTAATTTACGTGCCACTCCATGTTCAGCCCGCGAGCCATGCGCGGGACTCTTGTCCAATACACCTTCGGTGCTCGACAACTCGGATACTCCGATATTCAGCACATTGATCGTCCCGGTCCAGTGCCCGCGCCGATAGCGCTTCTGCTTCCTAGCGGAGGTGGGTTCATGAATTTACTAGGAGACGTGCGCATAGCGCCCAAGGCCTTCGACCTCCAATCAATCCATGGTTCATGGTGCTCCAACCATGCCATACCAAGAATAAGGTCATACCTTGCATCCAAGTCTAAGACTAAGCAGCGCTCCACGCTAACGAAGTCAAGAATCTTGACATCAAGGCCCAGAGTGACCTTTAGGCACCGTGACACGTATCCTCTTTGCTAAGCGAACAGTGTCGATGTCACTCAACCGCGCCTTTAGTGCCTAAAATTTCAGGGAACTTCCTTTAATCGTGGAGCGTCGAGCATAATTGCCAGACGTCCAGGAGCCAATCAGGATCTTCTATGGCTTCTCGCAGCCCTTCACTGTCGCTTTTACGACCAGCAAGTCCTGCTTGCATACACGATCCGTGTTCAAGAGCACGACGCTCTTTGGGGCTAGGCTCTGCTGCCGACTACCTCTTTGAGGCTCAACAGAACTCAGTTATTCCCGTGTAGTGCGACCCGGGCGTACTGGGTTCTGTCGTTTCCCCGCGTCAAACGAGATAGTTTAGAAGCGAGACGTCGATCGACAGACCTTCACACGCCCTGCGCAGAGGACAACTAGTGACGGGTAGGTGACGGGTGTCTCCACAGACAAAACACCGCCGGGTGTTTAAACGCTGTTTGGCTGCTCGGCAGCTCGGAGTTCTCCCTCCTTTCACTCAGCATAGCTGAGATCCATGGGCATAGGCCCGCTCGACGAGCTGTCGGATGTGCATTCCAACCAAGTCGTGCCGACTTGAAATTGAACTCGGCATTCAATGCCACATTCACCGCCTCTTCAAATGAAGACGGATGCACACAGAGAACTACCATTCGGGTCACTCCAGTGCGGAGACCCTCCATAAAGATGGTTACTGTGACCTCCTCCGGGAGGGGATCTGCTGCCAATGAGAC